GCTTAGGCGACCACCTGCATTCGACGGGCACCTGCCAAAACGGGCAAAAATTTCTGGCACGGAATAGTTTATCCATAGAGTTTTCCTATAAGTTACCTGTATTAAACGACCACCTGTGTAACGCGACCGCGGGCATCGCGATTTTTGGTCCGAATTTTTTGGTCCGAAACAACATACAACACCTGTAATAAGCGACCACTTTCGCGAATATATCTGGTCTAAACTATTGTAAGAACCCATCTTAACAACGTTTCCACCTCCTAATATAATGAATTAGTCTAAACTCTCGTTCGAACCCATCCCGGGCATTTCTCCCACCCTCGAAATTAGGTGCAGGTGTTAATAAATTAGTCTAGCAACAAAGGAAATTCATTTCAGTTTGTTGGAAAATGTCCCAAATGTAAAGCGCTGTCGTTAGAATACCGTATTAAAGTTATCACAACAGCAATTAGCGGCGAAGCAAGGGAAAACGAAATTTATTTTACCCTAGACCTACAGTATTTTCCTTGGGGGGGGTGTAAAATATTGTACACGATACAATTAATCGGCTGATCTCATCGTTTGATAAAATCTATTTTTATTTATTTATTTTGAAGCTCATATACAGTACACGTGCGATAAATAGTTTCTGTATCAACCTACCTTATTTCCACGATATTTTTAGAAAAATAATATCCAAGTAATTTTCGCAGGCAAAATATTCAAAAAACAATAAACGCATTAATGCAAAAATCAGTTTTACTTCCTTTTTCGATTCCGCGATTGTAATGAAATCGTATAATGAGAAAAAATAATAAAATCGTTTTATTATTAATTAATAATTTTTCTTATTGTACTTAATTAATTAAGAAAATATTAAATATTAAAAAATACAGTATTTTTAAAGTTAAAATAAGATTAAACTAACGAAAACCAAAAGCAAAGTGATGGAGAGATAGGACGCGCTTGTATATTGATGACGTAATACACGTAACTGAGGAGCGAACGAAAAGAACCGAGTCGAATTAATTAAGTCGGAAAAAAGAAAGTGTGCATTATAATCGAGAAAATGCGAGTATTGTATTAATCTTTAAAATATTGGTATTAAATGTGTCATAATATCATGACGATTCCTGTAAATCGGGTTATCCGATAAGAATAAAATACAATACCAATATAGCACTATCGTTGAAAAAATTCGCTTATTTTTGCTCGCCTCGAGTTTTGCTTAGTAGAAATGGCTAAAAAGTGCGCAAAATACGTACGGAAATACGGTATTACGGCACCACCCGTATTGGACGACCACCTGCCTAAAAGACCACTTTTTGAAGGAAACGTGGGTGGTCGCCATAGACAGGTTTTACTGTACTTTCTTACTACGTTTATTCATACGTAATAATAAAAATACGTATATACACGGTCTTGCGTTTTTATTAGTCTTGTTTTTTCATTTTGTAGGGGTTTAAAGAATCTGTCTAACGTCAGATGCTTTTCTCTTTTCTTCAGGATTTTTCAGAAGTAATTAATCGCATTGTAATTGTACAGATCCCTAAGCCTATTAACCTCAACCTGGTTTGGACGCCATTTTAAGACCGTTGTTCTGACATCCTCCAACTTCTTCAAAAGATCTTTAATAGCAGATATCGGCATACATCCGCATTTTCAGAAAAAAAAAAAAAAACGTAAAAGAATTGTTTCTGTCAAAAATATAAATGGCTGGAGTTATTACAAGGGAGAGTTTCAAAGTTCGGGGGAATACTATTTGATCAGTATAGAACGTCGATGTCGACGTCTCCCGCGCTCTGAAAAGTTTCCAAGACAAAGCCTGAAGACAAAGGAAGACCAATCGGTATTCGTTCTTTTACGTCGCTTCTTGTGTTTGTTCAGTAAAGTGTTCGTTGGCCGATTAAAAAAATTTTTCGCGAAAGTGTTCGTTATCCAATTTGTTCGTTAACCGATCACCCACTGTGTTATAAATTGGCGAACAGCTTAATTTTGAAAGAAGAGTTTTATAAAAAAAACACTTGTATATGCTAATAAAGAGTAAAATCGTCCCACCATACTGGAGTTACACACGATTTCTATTATCTCCTCATTTTTTTCGATCTTAAACTATCAAAATTTAATAGCATGAATGTTTCTAGTAAAGAAACCCAACTGCAGAATTTCAGAAATTTTCTACAAAAAGCAGAGGACTTATTAAATAAAACACGGAAATACTCTCCTAGAAAATGAACGTCATCTTTCGCTCCCTCAAAACCACGTGACTACGGATGGACTCATGAAATCACATGTATAGGCTTCACGTACTAGTTAGAAACACGTTTATGCTTACAAGCTGACTTTTCAAAATTATTTTTAAAATGATCGGAAATATTTAAAATTACCGTGACTTAACAAATCGCTACTAAGGCGATTTTAAAATTTTATATTACGTGTTTAGTTTAGTTATTTGCTTTTCTTTATTTCATTGTTACGGTTTTTCCTGTGTAACGTCTGTCTTGGAAATTGATCTGTGGGGACCGTTCACAGTGATATGAAATTCAGATCGCGTTTTCTTCTAGCCCTTAGTAATATATTTCTCTGCCATGATAACTCCAGTATATTTTGTTTTATAAGTTTCTACAACTGAACAAAATAACTACTGAAGTCAGCTTTTTTTTTGTGTCTACTGTTCAACAAGAAGATGGCTTAACATTCAATCGGATTGAAACGGATTGGCGACCAAGTAGCCCTAAACACATGTAGTTCCTTCTCCAAATAAATGGTCTCACTTCTAAAGACTTTACGAAGAACGTCTATGTGAAAATCGAATGTTTAGCTTATAAGACTGGAATTTACACCTGTCTTCAGAACTACATAGCCGTGTGCATAAGGTACCAGATATTGAACTTATTCAATGCAATTTTAGTTTTTTCAAGTGTAATATAATTATTTTATTATTTTCTCGTATCATTAACATTATTATTACTATTATTCAGTGGCATGCAATCCATTACAGCTGTGGAGGCGCTGCTTCTCTTGTATTTTTTTAAAATATAAATACGAATCGTGCGATCATTTTTATATTTTAACGTATTTTATTACAAATTCTTGTACTACATGTGAAAAACAACGATAAGATTGCTATTGTATATTCGAATATAAATTCGTGCATGAATATTCCAATGGAAGCGCAGTATTATCGAATACAAGACAGCTTCAACGGCGAAAATATTTGAATGATGTAAAGAAGCCAGATTAGGAGCATTTACACACGCGCTTCACAGAACACCAACCTCTTGGTTTAGCTGGTAGATGCTACAATCCAAAATATCGTATAACGCTTCCAATTTTCTGAAATTGCAGCTAAAAAATTTAACTTCGACTTGCTGCATAGAATTTCTTCATATCAAACGTAAAAAATGGGATATAAACACTAAAAAATTTATTAACACGACAGCGTTTGTCTGTCAAAATACGAAGCAAATTATAAACAAGCTCATAAAGTCCCATAATATGTATATACAGTGCATGCAACACTTAATGTCAGAATCATGTATGCCTGAAGACATTCTTACAAAATATATTACGCTCGAAATTTTTCAACAACATATACCACAATTTACTCTAGAGGCACATTTAACTAAACAAAGAAGTTAACATAAGCATATCGCAGTTGAGACAAAATTTTCACTTCCAATTTCAAACAGAGCATATACCTTAACATGTACTGTACATTTGTATATTTGCGGCCGAAGCAAATAGCACCGTTTCAATATACGAGGATTTCCTGTATTATGAATTACATCAAAATATGTATGTGAGGATCCGAATTCGGACTTTCCGTGTGTTTATATCACTTTGTCATTTCACATTGTAGCTATACTTTCGTTCAATAACAGTCCACTTTTACACCTGGGAGTTAAACATCTGGTAAGTTCTCAGGCTTAATAACGACGCTTTCTCAGCACCTTTTAACCTAATATCTCCGTTTCAACAATCCAACATGAAAAAGAGACAACAACAAAGTGAAGCAGTCGTCACCAGTTTCTCGATCGGACCACTCGAGTTTTCCCTGTGCCTCGCCTTTGGATATCTCTTCGCCTAATAACTGTGGAAATAAGAACTGTCTTCTTTTGGAATTTCATACAAGGTAATTATCGACACGCGAACTTATGTAAACTCTCTCTCGAATCGAGTCATATCTTAATATCTAATACTTATCAAATCGAGAAATGTATCTAACAGCAGCCCTAATGTATAGCTTATCGTTAACCATTAAACAGTTGTTACGTTAACAAGCGTCTGAGTAAGTCACTTCCGGTGCGCTGTCTCTCCTTCAATCCCAACTCTGATCGCTCACACGCCCGAATGAAACGGTTTCTGTGTCTAGCCAAGAAGACACAGTAGTGTCAGTCCTGACGAAACTTGTCATTGCGATCTTCGCCGACGCGATATCGACCCTTCAGTCACGTGGTGCCGAAGTATAGGGATGCCCTTCCGCATTGTCACATGTACTGTACAGTTCTAATGACTGGTTGAATAAATAATTATTAACTGTAATTAACACGGACAAGTATCTATGGAACAATTCTCTGTTCAAGAAAATTTTATATAATAACATTTTAATTATATATTGAACAGTGTAATGTTTCTTAGTTAAAACTTTTCAGAAATTCGAAAAAGATTATTTTAATTCAAAACCAGTTTTGCTTACATCTTTCGATAATTCTACAATAGAATATTCCTTCAAAATTTCAGTGTGAATATTTTAAAATATTTTTAAATCTTGGCTTTAAATGAATTTCGCTGAACATAATTAACATTCATTTGGCTTTCGTCTGTTGTGGATGCGAAGGTGTTTAATTAAGTGTGACTTTGTTGTAAACTTCTTTTTACACTCTCACAACTATAAGGCTTTTCTCCAGTGTGAATGCGAAGATGTGAAATTAAGTGTGACTTCTGTGAAAACTTCTGTTGACATTCGTCACAAGCGTAAGGCTTTTCTCCAGTGTGGATACGAAGGTGTTTAATTAAACATGTTCTTCGTGTAAACTTCTTTTTACACTCGTCACAACTGTAAGGTTTTTCACCAGTGTGGACCCGAAGGTGTTCAGTTAAGTGTGACTTTGTTGAAAACTTCTTTTTACACTGGTCACAACTATAAGGCTTTTCTCCAGTGTGAATGCGAAGATGTGAAATTAAGTGTGACTTCTGTGAAAACTTCTGTTGACATTCGTCACAAGCGTAAGGCTTTTCTCCAGTGTGGATACGAAGGTGTTTAATTAAACATGTTCTTCGTGTAAACTTCTTTTTACACTCGTCACAACTGTAAGGTTTTTCACCAGTGTGGACCCGAAGGTGTTCAGTTAAGTGTGACTTTGTTGAAAACTTCTTTTTACACTGGTCACAACTATAAGGCTTTTCTCCAGTGTGAATGCGAAGATGTGAAATTAAGTGTGACTTCTGTGAAAACTTCTGTTGACATTCGTCACAAGCGTAAGGCTTTTCTCCAGTGTGGACCCGAAGGTGTTTAATTAAGTGTGACCTTTGTGTAAACTTCTGTTTACACTTGTCACAACTATAAGGCTTTTCACCACTGTGGATCCGAAGGTGTTGAATTAAGATTGATCTGCATGTAAACTTCTTTTTACACTCGTCACAACTATAAGGCTTTTCTCCCGTATGCATCCTTTCATGCCTTTGCAAATATTGTTTAGTTTTAAAATTCTTCTTACAGCGTTTACATGAAAATTGTTTTTGGTTCCATTTCTCTGCAATTAAAAAATCGTTTTTAAATAATATTTTATCCATGTATAACAAAAAGTTTTTAAAATAAGAACAATAATTAAATAATAATTTTATTATCTAATAGCAAATTTCTTCATCAAAACACAAAAGAGTAACTTTAGAGATAATAGCGTTCGTATATGAATATATTATGTTACTAATATTTTTAACAAAAGTTAATCAGGGTCGACATATTAAAGTAAACAATTTCTGTAAAACGTTTTTAAAGTGTAATCCTCATGAATTCTTTTTTTATATCTTTGCAGTGGATCTCCCGCTTCTTTTAAATTTTAATCGATGTAAGTAAAGAAGTGTCTCTAATAATCTTCTTTACTTCAATTTTGCTATGATCTTGAACAATATTTTCTTCAAAATTTTATACAATGTTTCATCCAAAGAACATCTGAAAATAATAGCAACATACATGAAAATTTAAATTTAAATGAGCTTAACATTAGAATGTATTATTCATATTCTTATTCATTCCTATTGTTAAATGTAAAGTTGAATAATATGTTACATTTAAATAAAAAGAATATTGTATTTTTAAAAAACTTATAAGTATACTTTCTTCATAACTTATTCTCGATAAAAAAAATAAAGTCACAACATAGGCATGGGTAAAATACAAATTCTTAAGAGTGAATCATGGATTTCATTCTTGCGAAATTGAATTTCATCTTCTCCTTGTCAGTTTCTCTTTTCTGTATTTTCAGGGTGAAGATCAGCTAAATAAAAAAAAAAACTATCTTATATATCAGACAAATTTATTTTCAATGCTTATTGTGTACAATAAATAAAATTTTTATTTTCTACGGTAAATCATTTAAAATATGTAAATTGCATTTTAAATTTCTTGATATTAACAAACTCTTGGTTTAGCTGGTAGATGCTACAATCCAAAATATCGTATAACGCTTCCAATTTTCTGAAATTGCAGCTAAAAAATTTAACTTCGACTTGCTGCANACACTAAATGATGGATTTCATTCTTGCGAAATTGAATTTCGTTCTTCTTTTTGTCAGTTTCTCTTTTCTGTATTTTCAGGGTGAAGATCAGATAAAAGGAAAAAGTAAAACGATCTTACATATCAGACAAATTTATTTACAATGCTTATTGTGTACAATAAATAAAATTTTTATTTTCTACGGTAAATCATTTAAAATATGTAAATTGCATTTTAAATTTCTTGATATTTACAAATGAACATTGTATACATTTAATAAATACCAATCGATTTCTGAATAATTTATTTTGGTAATGTAAAATTTTCTGTAATAAAGTGTCATTCGTGAATTTTTTGAAAATTGTTTTAAAAAGTTATCTATGCGAAAAACCTCTATATAGAATGTTAATGGTACGCAAAAATAACTCTAAATTAAAATAAAACTATGTTTTATTATTTTGAACGTTTACATTGACTAACTACCTACAATATGAAACAGAGAATAAAAGATTATGAGTTGAAGCTTGAAACATTTTGAGTCGACTGCAAATTTGACATCTTTGGTAGAACTGTAAACAGAACAACAATTGGCAGAAGCTTTTCCTTAAACATAGAGTTGGAAGTATTATGGTGTGTTCACGGATGACAGCCTATAAAAATAGAAGACGTTTCTTTAACGTTGGAAGTATGTATGAAGAATGTCGATATATTTCATTAGAAAATTTAAAAGCTTACGCTGAAAAACTACGTATCTCGAATATCTTAGATTTTTATTACGATAATGATCCAAAACACAAGTCTTATAAAGTGGCTGCTGTACTGTTGCCAAAAATAAGTGAGTCACAGACAGAATTTAAACCGAAATGTAATCGAATATTCATAAATGAAGTTAGATAGGAAAATCGGAGAGTCATGAATTACTAAGAAAAATGAACTGAAAAGTACGTTTGAACAACAATGATCAGAAAATTGGTGAACACCAAAGAAAAACTATTAATGGACAATTACTGCCAAATTGGTTGAAAGCTGGGTTGAAAAGAAACAATCCAACAAGTTATTGAAATATTCAATCTTTTAATATAACTAAATTTTAAATTGAAGTAATTTCGTTTTAACATAAAAATGCAGCAGCAACGAGTTGTATCTTTTCTGCCAATAACATTTAAAACTGCTCTGTTATATTTTATTAAAAAATTGTGTAATCGATTAATGTACCGAGTCAATTAATGTAACTGCCCAATAGTAACGATGTTTGAAATTTAAATTTCCAACGAATTCACTATGTTATTTAAATTTAGAAATAGTTTAACTACAGTATTAATATGTTTATGGAAACTTTTTTTTTTCTAATATTCTTTTTCATTCACGTTTCATGTTATAAGAATAAGAATTTTTAGCTAGAGACTGGCAATAGAGGAACGTGTCAGGCACACAAATCCCGATGGCAAAAACAGAAAAGCAAATCTCGGTATCTCAATATCGATAAAACTTTCGAGAGTGTTTCACTGCACGCTAATTACTTTATCTGCGAGACCTCAGAACAAAGTATGTATTTTTTACATTATACATTTAGTATTTGAAAATAATTACTTTAATTTGCAATCATAACTGGATCGTTTTTATATAGTTGTTTGTGAAGAGTGAAGTTTTACAGTAAGGTTCGTCTTGCGCTTCGGGGTAAATTAAATATATGCACTTATATGAGGCTCGGGCCGGATCTCATAAAAGGTGCTGTCCATAAATTTCTTGTGCATTTTCTTAAATTTTGACTCCCTGTCTCCATTGTCCCAGTTTTTCTAACTTTCCGTAATCCCTCATTTGTTTGTATGTTTAACGAAACTCAAATCTCAGCAAAACTTTTATCACTATATGAATAATAAAATGCATAAACTCTACAAAATGTATTGAAATAAAATGGATCTTCATTGAAGTTCAATTCCTCTCCCTCCCTCTGTTCGATTTTGTAGGAATTGTCACAACCCCTCCCTTCGTTCTAGTGTGGACGTCATTTATAAACAGCCACGAAACTTCTGACAGTCATGTCTAAAGATCCAGAATGGCGAGTAAATTACTGTACTTCTCTCTGGTACTGATCGAAATTTAGCGTAATTATAATTCAGTTTTAAGAATCAGACATTTGTACTGCATGTAATAATATATTTATAAAATATTGTATGACTTATGTCTTATACTTAATACAATTACTAAATAGTTGTAAAATGGGGTGTTCCTTCTATAACTTATATAAGTCATTATTATTATTCAATTATATACTCGTATTTTAATGAATATGATTAAAATAAGTAATATGATGTTTACACGTCTAATTCTTTTTGCAAGCTGGGAAAATAATTTGTTCAAAAGTTTAATTTTCTTCCAAAAAATAACTGAAATATGACTTGAGCGATAAAAAAATCCCGCAACGAGTTACTTAACTTTCTCGGAAACATTTGGTGGCGCCATCTGTTACGATATTTTATTAAAAATAACTTTTTATATTTTTAACTATTATGAAATGGCAAAAAGCTTAATTTTGAAGGTAGGGATGGTTTTATAAAAACTTGTGAATGCTAATAACGGGTAAAATCGTCATTAAGTCCGATTCTACTGAAGATACACAGAACATCTTTTATCTTCCCCACCACTTGACCTTTAAACACCAAAATTTAGTAGCATCGATCCTCCTAATAAACAAACCTCCCTGCAAAATTTCAGAAATTTTCGACAAAAAGCACAAGAATTATTAAGCTTCAAACAGGATGAACAAAATCAAGCCCCCCAAACACATCCGTACATACAGAATACACCCCGAATTTTTTTCTCGTTTCTTGACTTTTCAATGTATTCTGAGTCCAAAAATGTAAAAATCTTGGAGGGTCATTTTTTTGACCCCGATCGCCATACTTTTCCTCTAACAGCCGGGAAAGTAAAAATCAAAACCATGTAAACGTTTGCTTACTTCAAGCCAATTCAAATAAACAGTGTTCTTTTGGCGAGGCTTCCAAATTCAGGAGACCCTAGAGCCTTTTAAAATTATCAATAAGAATAATTTGCGGACCACGTGGCTCTTTCGTTAATTATTACACAATGCTTAGCTATATAATAATGCATTAAACTTGAATTATCACGAAATATCAAGAGAATGAAATCAGGGAAGGAGTAGGATGTCCTGGTTTTATTNTTCAACGTATATTGTACAGTGTTTAAAATATCTGTTCTCTAAGTTATATCTCTTCAAATATATAAATGGTATATAAAAAATAAATCTAAATTGTGATAAAACTACGTATTGTTATTATAGACGTTTACATTGACTAACTGCTTATAATATGTAACAGGGAGTCTGAATTTCCCATCATTGTGACCGGTCCCTAGAGAGCTATTTCTAAATGAGATTATAAAATAGCATAAAAAGATTTTTAAGGATAGACTCGGTTGTATTAAAAAATTCAAAATGTTAATAACGAGTAAAATCGTCATTAGTTGTGACCGTTACTCGGGATATGACACTCGATTACCGTTTATCTCCCCACCTCGTTTAACCACCAAAATTTAATAGCATTAATCCCTGTAATATACAAACCTCCCTGCAAAATTTCTGAAATTTTCGGCAGTAAGCGCAACAGTTATTAAGCTTTAATTAAACAGGGTGAACGAAATCGCGCGCCCTTCACACACAGTGACAAATCGCTGATTCTGATTTTTTCTTTTTGTATTTCTTGACATTTCAAGCTCTCCTGATAAAAAATGGTAAAAATCTTAAACGTTCATTTTTTGACTGATCGCCGCAGTTTCTTTCTGTTATACTTAACAACAGGGAAAATAATTACCAGAATAAAATAAATTTTCTAAACTACAGAAAAGTATCAATTTGAATGATAATCAAAGAAATAAAACACTATCCGAATATTCAATGTATTCTGTTTAGCTCACCCACCTCTTCTATGACGTCATGAAGTCTACATTTAGTTCCGTACCTGACGATGACCCAAACTGTTAAATTACTGTATATAAACTAAAGTATAAGTCTAAATCATCTGAGCGAAAGGTAAC